ACCCTGAATAGGATATCATGTAAACTTCTGATGTAAACTGGTTCATTCCAGTATATGCAAGTTCACTTCTTCATAAAACATCCAATTTGGTGTGCTTTCTTTCCATGTATATTCAAAAGAACTCTAAATCAGTTTGTGACTTTACCCCAACTACAACAAACCAGTTCAAGCAAGCTGGCAAGAGGTTTTATTCCTTTGCAGGTAGAGACAACAAGAAGTAATGAGAACATCTGATTAAAGTCAGCTCTGAGCATCTGCCGACTCAACATCACTCGTGTCGGGGGGCACCTGTGGTGGCCAAGTGCTAAGGCAGGACTTCCCTCAGACCCTCCATCACTCTCATTAAAAACTTCCTTCCCTTCATTTTCCTTCCTTCTTCCTTCTCCTTTCTTCTTCCCCTCTTTCCTTATTTTTCCTTCCTTGCTCTCTTCCCATCTTCCCTTCTTTTTCTTTGTCTTTCCTCTTTCCCTTTCTCTTTTCTTCTCCCTTTTCGCATGCTCAAATGCAAAAGGGGAAACAATTCTCCTTTTGTTTCATTTTTAGTTTGTTTGATAGTCCTCCGCCAGCAAAAAGGGGGCCCGCACCCCGTTTTCAGCTGCGATGGCCTCCGGCAGCCCTCTGCCAGCAAAAACGGAGCGGGGGGGGGGGGGCTGCACACTCCGTTTTCACTGACAGAGGGCTGCAGGAGACCGTTAGGGCCGAAAATGGGATGCATGGGGCTGCGTGTGCCCTCCCGAACTCCTTTTTCTCTGGCAGAGGCACCACAGGCCAGTCCTTTGCTGCTTCCAGACCAGCCCTGCAGGCCAGATCTAAGCACACAGGCCTTGAGTTTGACACCCCTACTCTAATGATATAGTTCAACTTGGGCCTTCTGTAGATGACATCGTTCCCATATCGTCAAAAGCCCACTGAACAATACTTGTTAGGTTTTTATCTATTTCAGTAATTAATGCTATTAATGCTATTAATTCAGTAATTAATGCTGGAATGAGAGCCCTATATAAATGCAACAGTCAAGCATAGAGCAAAGGGTTAGGCTATTGAACAATCACATGAATGGATGCATTCTTAGCAGAAACAGAACAGGAATCTAATTAATACTAAATCCATTAATTATAAATCCAGATATTATGGAAAAAATGTCAAAGAAAAAAGGAATAACTTATTTTATCCTTTATAGTGCAAATAACTGTCTAATGTTCTGGTCACATACATTTGTAAATCCAAAATAAAACAAGTGCATCTTCAGTTTCTAGCCAAGTAAAGTGGAACATTGTGTCAGCATTCTCTTTGGTTGGAATACTTGTGTCTTTCAAGGCAATGAACCCTTTGAAGATTGAAACGTCAGAATGAAGTCTAGTAATAGGTTCAGGATACAATTCTACATTTTATAATCTATGAGTTTGACCTCTCCAAATCCCATTCAATTTTCAGAGCAGGAGAAAACAGCTTGAAAGATATTTGACATGAGATCTGTCATGTATAGTTGCTAATAAAATTATGTTGTTAAATATGTGCTGTGTTTTCTCATAACATTTCTCCAGTAAGAAAGAAATCTTTTACTATTTCCCCAAAAGTCAGGGTATATATTCAAGCTATACCCAGGGCCCTGTTTCCCCCATCCAGTCGTATCCTACTCTAGAGCACGATGCTCATCTCTATTTCTCAGCTGAGGGAGACAACATTGTCCAAAGACATTTCTGTGATCATGTGGCCAGCATGAGATATACCCAGGAGCACAGAACACTGTTACCTTCCCACCAAAGTGGTATCTATTTATCTATTGCATTTGCGTGCTTTTGAACTGCGAGGTGGGCAGGAGCTGGGGCAGATAACGGGAGCTCACCCCACTGCATGGCACTTGTGTATCGAACTCAGGCTGTTTGCTTTCCAGCTGACAAACTCAGTGGTTTTTTTTACCACAAAACCTATTATAAAAGCAGTGGTCAGTTTAAAATATTTGTTACTCAGGCAGAAATTACAGTGGTAAATATAACTTACAGAGAGCATCAACCATGGAAGAGAGCATTTACATGCACAGGACAAAAATGTTCCTAAAGATCTGATTTCCTGATTCTGTATATGCATATTCTCTTTAGCTTTTGGCTAGGAGACTATTATAGATGTAGGTACATAAATGTACCAGGCAACACATACATGGCTCACACACTACAGTTTCAAGCACAGAAATGTATTATTGAGATAACTACTGGTTTATGCTGTTGACATAAAGAAGGAAGCTAAGGACTTGATTGGGAGGGGGGAAAAACTATAAAAAAAAATCTAAGATGAGGTAGTGAGGCTGAAGATAGAGGGCAGTGTAAATATCAAACAGGTTGTCAAGTGCATGAGATCCAGAAAACAAATTATAATATTAGATATTTCTGTATTTCTTTACTGCTATTCTTGTGGAAATTTGTATTTTTGTAGCCCAAATATGGTAGCTGTAGATAAAAGCATAAGGGAGAAAGCCATTGGAAAAAGTGTATTTGGTGAGTTTTCCTTCTGCAGATTAAATTGCAAGTTTGTTAATAAATAATGTATATATTACATATATTTGAGTTTATTTCTAAAACATTACAATGAATAATAAAAAAAAAATCTAAATTGGAAATAGGAATCCAACTAGAAGGCAAACAGACTACTGGACCACAAGGAAAACAATGCTAAAGGGCAGACATGCTATATTAATTACTTTCACCAGTCCTCACTGCAGAACATTTAGGATACTGATGCTTACCTGAACAGACTTTTCAAATAACAATGGCAAGAAATTAAGCTTTAAGCTTTATCAATGAATTAAAAATTGACAGATCACCAACTTTGAGATATCTACCTCATAGTTTTGAAGAAATTCAAATGTGAAATAAAGATTGACATTTTTATTAGATGATGGGGATATGGTCAAGTTAACATTCTTTTTTTAAAAAAAGATGTAGGTAGGGAAAGACTCAGAAGTTACAGGAAGGTTAGCTTTGTACATATTCTTAATTTATTAAAAGCATTAATTAAAATTATTAGGCAAATGGATGAAGAAGTCTTGTTAATGGACTCAGTACATTTACTATTGCAATAACCCATCATTTTTAAATCACAGAATGTTGCTTAAGCACCAATTGATTCAACACCTGCATATTGTGTTGAACTGTATCACTGATTTACAAACCACAACAGCTTTTTCACACAACACAATTATCTTTGAGGCTTCATTTGTCAGGTGAGCCCAACTACCTGTTTTGCACACACCAATAATCTATCATAATGAACCACATTGTGGTCCTCAAAATATAATGCAACTATAATGTATATGAAGGCTACACACACCAAAACTTTAAAATAGGATACAGTACATGAAGGATGTCACATTAGGATTAAATAGGAAGTATTTACTGCATTTATTTATTATTGAGTATTATTCTGCATAAATCATCCTTATGAATCTATCCAATATAAAATGATTTGAAAATGGCTATTGTAAACAGTAGCCAAGATAATAAACCCATGCAAGTAATATCATACTGATTTCTGTCTAAGTAATAGTATGATTAATTAGAAAAATCAACCTTTCCTACATACCTCCCTCACAGAAGCAAAATCATTTTGAACTCTAAAAACAAAAGTAATGTATTTTTGTAACTTGCATCACTGTTAAGAAACTTCATGTAAGTTATATATACTTGGCTGGATTTCCAGAGTACACTGGAGCATAAACTCTTTAGCCATATTTTACTCTGAGGGCTTATGGGAACCTAGAATCCTGTACATTCATTTACAGTTTCAGTGTGACTACAAGTGAAGAAAGGTGAAGGTAAAAGAGGATGTCCGGCAAAACTAACACCCAGTTTGATTAACAGCTTCAATAGCTGGAATTACCATGGCACAGAAGAACGGAGAGACCTGATGAGAGACCTGCCGATGGATACATTTAACAGCGCAGTCTTGAACTACACACCCTAAACTTGGTACTATCTCTGCATTTTCGAGCAATCACATTTAGACGTAAGGCGTTATTGGTTATCTGCTAAGCTGCACCAGTAGTAATATTCAACTGTTATATTAACGTCGAAAGAACTTGAAGCTCAGGAAACATAACAGAAACAGAAAAACGGAGGAACAAGATTGGCTTTCACATTTTGCAACAGAAAGTTAAAAAAAAAAAAGGATTATTTTACACGCGTCCACCACGTGAAATAGGATCTAGGATACGCACACTCCCGGTGCAATAAAACAAGCAAAGGGCAGAACTAAGTTAACGGGGAAGGAAGGACCGTCTCTGCTGAGCAACCCATTCAGACCTGGTTTAAAAACGTCGTTCCCTCACGTGGTTAAGCGCCTCGTTCCTTCCCCGACGAGCAAAGGGGGGAAATCCCGATGGTGACAGGCGTCCCCTTTTAGGCATACGGGGGACTTTCTCCGGTTTTACGGCCCCTGGAGGGCTATTCGGTTCGTCTGCTCCGGGTCACCTGATTCGGCGGGGAGGGGGGTGGGAGAAAAAAAAAGCCCCAGGTTCCACGAAAGAACGAAAGAGTCAACCGGGAGGAAAGACAGAGGTGTGTTCTTGCCAGGCGGAGAAGCTTTAGCGTATCGTACGCCTGCCAGGCATTCGCCCATTCCTGCTCTAAGGGCCACCCCGGGGAACGCATGTATCCGCGCTCGCCGGAGATTAGGCTGCCAGGCGGAGATTAAGCTAGAAATAGCGGCAGCTCTTGGGCGTGGAAAAAGCTGCGCTCCGCCGGAGCCGCCGCAGCCTTAGCGCATCTTCCTCTCGGCCAATCCCCCCTCACCCTTCGCCAGCCTCCTTGCACCTGAGGGAGAGGCCAAGTGCGCTCTAGGCGCGCCTTCCCGCGCGCTGGAGCAAAGCGCCCGGTGCGAACTGGGGGAGAAGAGGAGGAGGAGGAGGAGGAGGAGGAGGGATTCTCGGCGCAGCTGCTGCCAGCCGGGCGGGGGCAAGAAGGGTTGCGGCGGGAGGATCGCCGGCGACGGGGGCCTTTCTCGAGACCCGGGAGCTAAGCAGGGGAGAGGAAGAGGCACGGCGGCGCGCGCCGGGAGGACGGGGAGCGTGTTGACAGGTTCGCCGCGTTGGGTTCCTCTGCGTTCCCGGGAGTGGGGGGGGGGGGCGGGGGGGGGGGGGAGGGAGGGCCCGCCGGGGGGGGGGGGGGGGGGGGGGGGGGGGGGGGGGGGGATTGCATTGCAGAGCAGGAAAAACTAGGGATTTGGGTAAGGGAAGAGAGCCGAAGGAATGGGGGTTTTGGGGTGTGTGATGTCGGGGTGGGGTTGGCCGGGCTCTGGGGAATGGAGCGGCCTGCGGGTTGTCTCGTCTTCGAGGAGGGAGCTGCTGCCCTGTGGACTGGGGAGGAAAAAAGGCTCCGAGAGGGCATAATATGGCGCAATGATATAATCTCTCCTCAGACAGCGGAGTGGAAACGCAGGGCGACCGGGGGGGGGTGGGGGAGAACCGGTGCTGCAGTGGAAACCGGCTGCAAGAGGAAGCCGGGGTGGATAAGTGGCCTTGGCCGAATGGGAGACGAGCTATTAAATTCATTCTGGGAGCCCTCTTGAGGCTCGGATGGGAAGGCCTGCGCTTTGGAGACGCGGGGTGGGTGGGGGAGCCTTTTCTCGTGCCCTCCCTCCAACATAAATAACGGAGAGGGAGGTGGTAGTTTGCAGTAACCGCCATCATATTGATCAAGGGATGCAGTTCACAGAAGGAAAAGGAATCTCTCCCCCCCCCCCCCACACACACACCTTAACGTCTTAATCGCCTGAGTCATATTTCCTCTTTATTCCCCCATCTCTAAAACATCAGTGGCCACACATTTCAGTGCAAACAGTTACACAACAGAAAAGATGGGGGTTGGGGAAGGAGTGAACTGAGTCAGGCTTTACAGGGAATCTACTTTTAATGGACAAAATATCTTGTCTTGTCTTTTTCTCCTCCCCTCAATTGTTTTCCACCCCTCCCTTCTTTATAGAAGTGGCAGCAGTCCTAGAATTAGTTGAAGATGTCAGGTCAGACGCTGACAGATCGCATCGCAGCTGCTCAGTACAGCGTTACAGGATCAGCTGTAGCCAGAGCGGTCTGCAAAGCAACCACACATGAAGTGATGGGCCCCAAGAAGAAACACCTGGATTGTAAGCATCTTTTTATATGCATGGTCATGTGTCACTTTTAAGCATACAATTCAATACTCCTCAGACACCAATCTGCTGTCTTGATGAAGCTTTATGTGAGGCGTCTTGGAAAAATGAATTTGTTGTTGCATAAGTTTTGAAGTTAAGTTTGGCCATTTTCTTCTTTTTGAATAGCAGGATATCTTGTGAATCTGGAAAACAGTGAAATATCCTTGCTTGCTTTGGTTAGCTGAATTCAGTCCAGAATTAGTGTTTGGCTTAACTAGCAATGTAAAATTCTTTTCAAATAGAATTTTGAACATAGTGGAATTGAATAGTTCTTCATCATTGTAATCTCTGTAATGATTCATTGTGTATTAGGAGTGTTAAACTAGAAAAGGCATAATTCAAATGGATATCTTCATTATTCAGAATCCAAAACTCAGTTCTTCAACAGTTATCAAAGGAAACTGTTGCATGTTTTGTTGGACATGGTTATATTGGCAATACAGGTGGGCCTTGTTTAGTGACTGTATGCTGTTCGAATGATGAAAAATAATTTTAGGACCAATCCTTGCAGGTTTGTAAAGCAAAGAAAGCTGAAGTAAGATTGTAAGCACAGTTATGATTTTAATAAGCAACCACTTCACTTAATGATCAGATTCCTGGTCCCAATTGTGATTGTTAAATGAGGAATGCCAAATGTATGTACTATATTTTGTAGTGAGTTTTAATTCCTTCTGGTATTTTAGCTTGATCTTCTATCCTATGATATATCAAAATGAGTTATCACTTTATGTTAAGAGTGGACATCAATCTATAACATTCTAGGTACTATTGAGTTACAGCTGTTACCATCTGTACCCATGACTCATAGGTTTTATATTCATCTGTTGGGTCACCGGTTCTTTTCTCCTGAGTTAAACATTGATGGACAGTCAGTGCTATATATATGATTTTGTGTTTGCAGGTTGTGGAGCTAAACCAGTACTAGTAGGAATGAGAAGATACAGCCACATGCATAGTTTTTATAACGTTTTTGTCCATTTATGGTCAATCTTTCCATAATCTCAAGGTGAACAAGTCTACAGACAATACATGGCAGTGGCAGATTTGTTATGAAAATATAGAAGCTATCCTTTTCCAACAACTCTCTGCAAAATAGGATATTTCTCATGTGGAAAGTCACAGAAAACCATATGTACTGCCCCATATTCTGGGCTCCTTTTAATTGAAAATTTATTTTTTTCTGGTCGCACCAAACAAATAAGTGTTAAGAAATCAAATCACGGTGGAGTAAAATATTTTATCAGTTCACATTGTCACTTTGAAGAAGAAACAAAATGGCCACCCTCCCAAACAGCACTATTCAAGAAGGAGTAGAGTTTTGTGTTCCAGTTTGCCAATTATACGAGGATGTGATGGCGTTTCTTTTTGGCTTAATGTGATGTGTGAACTCATTCTAAAAGAAAAAAAATTACATGGTTTGTTGAATTAGTCAAGCCTGAAATCTGCTTACACTTCCTTAAAATCTTTCTGGCCTTATAGGAAAGAATGTGCTTGAATGCTGGGCCAGAGTTACACTCCAGTATGTGTGTGTTATCTCAATCTGATTTAACTTTAAATTTTAAATGGATTGGAAATTGAATTGTTATTATAATTATTTCTTTTATATTTTCTTTTATATTTTATACTTTTTATTTCACATGACAGATTACAATTACACAACTGTATGATATATTGGGATTTTGCGGGTCATACTCAAGGCAGGAGGTTCTAAAACAACAAGTTGTGCTGTTTTTTCATATCTTGTTGCAGCTTTTTTTGGGGGGGGGGGTCACAGAATTATAAGGTAGTGAACTCGCAGCAACCCCTGAAGTTGTTATTTCTTACTATGTTTCCATAGCAAGGTAATTAATATGTTGTAACTTAATATATTAAGTTAATAATCTATATAATCCCAAGCAGTCATGCATAGAGGTTCTGATTCTCCACATGCTTCATTTAATAATCAAAACAGTCATTTCATAAAAGGATAATTCAGTAATGTTTGTTGTCAGTCCATTGTTGTTTCTACTTGGTATTTTAATCAAAAATATACTAAATTAGATGCTAATGTTTTAGTAATGTACTAATGTCATTGGGGTAGCATGTGATTTTTGTGGTAGTGAGCAAAATACTGCAATAGATACGGGTAGTTCTTGACTTATGACCACAAGTGAGTCTAAAATTTCTGTTGCTAAGTGAGATTTGTTAAGTGAGTTTTGCCCCATTTTACGACCATGGAGAGCTTGATGGAAAAGCTTATTTGCATTATATTTACCAGTAGTGAAGTATAGGATGGATTAGGAAAAGGCTTGAGGTGCTCTGAATTCTTTTTCTTTAACTGAAGTTCATAGGAAATTACTTTGTGGGGTAACATTGATGTCTTCTACTTGTGCAGCCAGAATCACTTGGTGCTCTTCTATTAATGACCAATTTTACATTTTAGCATCTGAATATCCCATTGCTGCTCTCTGATCTTTCTGTAAAGATGATTGAATATGGTATACCCATAAAGCACAGAAGCAAGAGTAAAATGACAGAAATGTATACTGTGTACATATAGTGATAGTAAAAAATTGAGATTTTATCTTTAAAAATAAATAAGCAGAAGCAAGGCTTACCTGTATGGTAATACTTCCCCTTTTATGTGTCCTGGTTTTTTGGTTTCAAGTGTCTCAGAAAATAATACTAAAATTTTTAATTGTCGTATACAGGTAGTCCTCAACTTACAATGGAGGTTGAGCCCAAAATTTCTGTTGTTAAATGAGACATTTGTTAAGTGCATTTTGCCCCATTTTACAACCTTTCATGCCACAGTTGTTAAGTTAAACACTGCAGTTTATAGGTTAGTAATGTAGTTGTTAAGTCAATCTGGCTTCCCCATTGGCTTTGTTTGTCGGAACGTTGAAAAAGGTGATCACATGACCCCGCGACACTGCAACAGTCATAAATATGAAGCAGTTGCAAGCATCTGAATTTTGATCACATGATCACGGGAATGCTTCGAAGTTCGTAACTGAAAAATGGTCAAAAGTTACATTTTCAGTGCCATTGTAACTTTGAATGGTCACTAAATGAACTGTTGTAAGTCAAGGACTATCTGTAGTAGTAAGATTCTGGTACTTGGGAAGGCATAAGTGCAAAATAAATGAATATGCAGTAAAAGCTTCTGGGACTTTTGCAGAAATTTTCCAGAGTGCACTAGTTCCCTTTTGTGAAGTTAAGACTTGCAGACAAAATAATTAAACCATTGGGGTTAGCGTTTTATGAATGGCTTATTTGGTGCCATAGAATAGATAACAATGTTAACCTAGCTATAAGGGAAAGTTTGGCACTACTGTGAAAAGAAACAAGTCAAAACATCTGCCATTATTGTATGTATAGATGTTAATAATATGCATACAGTGACAATATGATTTTCAAAGAACTGCTTGTTTAGATTTATTTACAAGTGATCTTAATTTGGTTGCCCTCTGCTTTTGATTGATTACTAGTAGAATGATTGCTAGCACTCAAAACACGAACATTTGTAATTAAATCTCACCAGTAGATTCAAACTACAGTATGGCAATTATTAAACATTTTCAGATGATTATGTTTGTATTCTGGCAAGGAGTAGAGCCATTTTAATAATCTGAAATATGAACTGTTAACATATCGGGAGATGTAATGAAAAGCACATTTGATTAGTATTGAATGAAATTTCACAAATAGATTCTGATAACATGTTTCTAACAGTATATATTCAGCATAGCAACCCATTCCTCAGTGTGGATATAGGTCACACCTGGGACAATATGCACATGCAGTGTGATTTTTCTATAGTATTTGAGCAAATACCATAAATACTATCCAAATACTTATCCACAGGCACTCTTTGAAGGGCCTACAAAGATGCTCATTTCACATAATTGAAATAAAATATGGTTAATATGGTTGTACCAGTCCTACATTGAATAACGTTGAATTCCTTATTAAAAATATTAATCTGATAACATATTTTAGACATCATTCCAAGAATATCAAGTCTGTCTGCGGCACTGACGCCTCAGATTTTGAACCTCTGCACCTGCTTCATTGAAAGTAATCAACTCTAATGGTTTTAAATACACTGCTAGAGTCCTGTGGGATTTTCCAGTTGGTATGACTAGTATTTCAATATGACATTTACTCAGGTAATTGAGCAGCATCTTTTTCCTTGACAGGTTAAGATAAGTTCTTGGCAATAAAGTCAACAGGAATGCAGCTACGGAACCTGAGTGAATATGAGTTAGAGCAGGTGGTTTCAAAAGTTTTATCTTTTAGTTAATCTTTTAGTTATAAAAGAGAATATTTTCCCCAAATCCCTGATCAAGCAGCAAAGCAATGAGTTGTCATGAATGCAAATGCTCATCCATACTACCTGAGGAGTTGGAGGTCCTGAGTGTCAGTTTACAAACGCTGCCCTTTCTTCTACATCTTAGAAAATTTGGAACCCACATTTGGTAATTTTTCTTTTTTTTGTTCCTTAATTTCTCATAGAATTCCTATTGAAACGCCAGGGTTCAATTGATGACACATAAAAGAAAAACTGAATTAGATATCTTTGTGAAGTCTGCTCTGTTATGAGAGTGATTCAGTTCCACAGCATTTTGCAGTGTCATCTGGTGGAGCTCTTTTATATACTGAAATATTTATTATGATTTATTCCGGAAAGGGACTTGGCCATATTCTCAATGGTTAACTGTAATAATTTACAAAATCCTTCAAGCTAAAAATTGTTCCTATTTAACACCATTATCAGGTGTGGGATTCTACCAGTTCGCACCTATTCACTAGAACCGGTTGTTAACATTCTAAGTAGTTCGGAGAACCGGTTGTTAAAAGAAATTACTGGCCTAATCCTGTAAGGAAGGCAGGAAGGAAACATTCTGGTGTTGCTTACAGAAACTGCCTCTCTGTTAACCCTTATTACATTCTTGGCAGGACTAGATTTC